GGTAGACCACCTTCGAAGAAAGGTAAATTCGATACTTAACCAGTTGAGTTAGATTCGAGTTGACATGGTTCATATAAGTTTTAACATTTGTGTTGAGATTCTTACAGATCCCAAAAGTGAAAGTAGATTACCGGACTCGAGTAAACCTACGGATGTATATGTTCCGAGAGATGAAAGATTTGGTCATTTGAAGATGTCGGATTTTCTTGCTTATGGCTTAAAATCTGTTTCTCGATCAATAAAACCTAAACTGGAGGATCTATTTGACACGACGCCCGGAGAATTTGACGACTTTAATGATGTGTTTGACCTGTTTGAAAAGGGGTTGCCAGTCCCAAGATCTTTGCTTGAGGGCATCACTGAGAACATTCCAGCTCCATTGCTAAAAGAAATCTTTAGAACTGATGGTGAACGATTTCTTAGGTTCCCAACTCCTCAGCTAATTCATGGTATGTTCTTCTTGTACTGTGTTTTTTTCGTGGTTGTTTGCTGTCTTTTTAAGGTAGAAACTAGATTTGTTTCTTGTTCTCCACTTCAATGTTTTTTTTTTTTTTTTTTTAAAATAAAAATAAAATAAGAATATCTATGATCACGAGTTTAGAAATGTTTGGGATGAGGACAGAGAAGACGCTCATCCTCATACTTCAATCTCCATCATTGCAAAATTCTATATTGATTTTCGTAGGGATCCCGACAAGGATTCCTCGAGAGGAGTTTTCCCCCTTCTTTATTAAAAAAAAATTTTCAATTGTTTTTGTGAAAATTTGACGGGTAGGTCTGGTAGTCAAACTCCCTTCTGCCTTTACACTTAAGGGTCAATTTTCGCTTGGCCCGAAGAAACCTTTGCACGCATTTGTTACCTTTTGGGAGGCCTACACCCCATAGAAACTGTCTACTTGAGACTGTCCCTTGGTCCGTAAGTCCTAACACAATGTTAGAATTCTAGCTCTTCCAGAGTGGTCTCACTGATGGCTCAGGCCTCCCTGGAAGGGGGTCTCCTTTGCCCTCCACCTAAACTGCGCAGAAAGGCCCAAAGCCAATCCTAGGGAACAGTGAAGCTTCATAGGATCTTTCTGTCTAGGGCAGGTAGTTCGCATCTTCACAGACATGTCTATTTCACCGAGCCTCTCTTCTAGATAGTGACCAGATCGTTACGCCTTTCGTGTGGGTCGAAACTTACCTGACAAAGAATTTCGCTACCTTAAGACCATTATAGTTACAACTGCCATTTACCTGACAAAAAATTTCGCTACCGTAATAATAATTTTTTTTTCTTTTTGATGACGTGAAATAGAGGATAAGTCTGCATGGAGAACCGACGAAGAATTTGCCAGAGAAATGTTGGCCGGAGTCAACCCTGTAGTCATTAGCCGTCTTCAAGTAATATTTTTTTATAATAATAATAATTTTTTTTCTTGTAACTTATTTTCAATAATTAAACTTGTAACATGTTTTAATTACAGGAATTTCCACCTCCAAGCAATCTGGACCCTACAATTTATGGCGATCAAACAAGCAAAATAACCGAAGAACACATCAAAGGTGGCTTAGATGGACTAACAGTGGATGAGGTAATCCAAGAATTTAGAGCTTATTTTAGTATTGGATTAAGCTTTTCTCAACACTTTTTGTTTAATAATTTGGTTCAATTAGGCACTCGAGAAGAACAAGCTATACATTTTGAACCACCATGACCCACTGATTCCATATCTTAGAAGAATCAATGGAACTTCCACCAAGACTTACGCTACAAGAACTCTTCTGTTCTTGAAAAATGATGGGACTTTGAAGCCATTGGCTATTGAATTGAGCTTGCCGCACCCACAAGGAGACCAATTTGGTGCCATTAGTAGGGTTGTGGTACCTGCTGTGGAGGGAGTTGAGGGCTCCATTTGGCTGCTGGCTAAGGCTTATGTTGCTGTTAATGATACTGGCTTCCATCAACTCATTAGTCATTGGTAAAGCTTTCTATTATCATGATCTAACTCAATGTTATGCATTTAGGTTGAAAAAAAGTAGGGTTTTTAATGAAGAAGATCGGTTTGGGGGTTAAGTTTTTCCGCTTGATTATGGGAAAAACCAAGAAGTTGTAAGTTAATATGTGAGATCTCACGTCGGTTGGAGAGGGGGAACAAAATATTACTTATAAGGGTGTGGAAACCTCTTTCTAGCATACACGTTTTAAAACCTTGAGGGGAATCTCAGCAGGAGAAAGCCCAAAAAAAACAATATTGGCTAGCGGTGGGTTTGAGTTGTTACAAATGGTATCAGAGTCTATCACTAGGCGGTGTGTTAGTGAGGACGTTGGCCCCAAGAGGGTGGATTGTGAGATCCCACATCAGTTGAAGATGGGAACAAAACATTCTTTATAAGAGTGTTTTTCCCTAGTTGACGTGCTTTAAAACTTTAAGGGGAAGCCTGGGAGAGAAAGCCCAAAGAGAACAATATTTGTTAGCGATGAGATTGAGTTGTTACAAATGATATCAGAGCCAACCACCGGGCAATGTGCCAGCGAGGACGCTGGCCCTAAGGTGGGTGGATTATGAGATCCCACGTTGGTTGGAGAAGAGGAACAAAACATTTTTTTATAAGGGTGAGTGGGGACACTGGCCCCCAAGGGAAATGAGTTATGAGATCTCGCATTGGTTGGAGAAAGGGAACAAAGCATAACTTATAAGAGTGAATGAGGATGTTGGCCCTCAAGTGGGGTAGATTGTGAGATCCCACATCGGTTGAAGAGGGGGAACGAAACATTCCTTATAAGGATGTGAAAACGCTGGTCCCCAAGGAGGTGAATTATGAGGTCCCACATTGGTCGTAGAGGAGAAACAAAACATTCCTTATAAGGTGTGGAAACCCGAATACCCGGAACATTCCTTATAAGGGTGTGGAAACCTCTCCCAAGCAGATGAGTTTCAAAACCTTGAAAGAAAGTTTGGAAACGAAACCTTTCTTATAAGGATGTGGAATCTCTCCCTGTCATAAGCATTTTAAAACCTTAAAAGAGAACCTAGAAAGGAAAGTAAAAAAAGAACAATATCGGCTAGTAATCAATGATAAGCTTAATTTTAAAAAATTTCACACTTTTTGTTCTTAAAGTTCAAGTTGAGTAGCATTTTAGTTCCCGAGTTATCCAACTCGATGATTTCATTTCAAACTTAAATTTACTTACTTCCATGACTCATAGGTTGAATACTCATGCAACAATCGAGCCATTTGTGATCTCAACAAACAGACAATTAAGTGTTATTCATCCGATTCATAAGTTGCTCGTTCCTCACTTTCGGGACACCATGAACATCAACGCTCTTGCTAGACAATCCCTCATTAATGCTGATGGTATCATCGAGACAACTCATTATCCCGCTAAGTATTCCATGGAGATGTCTTCCTTTGTTTACAAGAGTTGGGTCTTCCCCGACCAAGCTCTCCCTGTCGATCTAATCAAGAGGTATTCATTTCAAAACATTTCATTTAATTTTGTCGTTCGTTCGTTCGTTCATTCGTTAACATTCAAACCTTGCGTTTGTTAAGAGGAGTTGCAATGGAGGATCCAAGCGCCCCACATGGACTTCGACTACTCATAGAGGATTATCCATACGCCGTCGACGGTCTCGAGATTTGGTCAGCCATCAAAACATGGGTAACAGATTACTGCTCGTTCTACTACAAGAATGACGAAACACTCCGTAACGACACCGAGCTCCAATCATGGTGGAAGGAGCTTCGAGAGAGAGGGCACGGCGATAAGAAAGACGAACCATGGTGGCCAAAGATGCAATCCATTCAAGACCTAATAGAAAGTTGTACAATCATCATATGGATCTCCTCAGCGCTTCATGCAGCAGTTAACTTCGGACAATACCCTTACGGCGGTTTCTCTCCGAACCGACCATCGACGAGTCGTCGACTCCTACCGGAAGAGGGCACGCGTGAATACAAAGAGCTCGAGTCAAACCCCGAGAAGGCGTTCTTGAGAACGATAACTTCACAGTTGCAGGCTCTTGTGGGAGTGTCAGTTATTGAGATATTGTCAAGGCATTCTTCTGATGAGGTGTATTTGGGACAGAGAAGTAACCCTGAATGGACTTTGGACAAGGAGGCTCTGGAGGCTTTTGAGAGGTTTGGGGAGAGGCTAGGGGAAATTGAAGGGAGGATTGGTGGGAGAAATAAGGATCCAGAGCTGAAGAACCGAGTAGGGCCTGTGGAGATGCCTTATACTTTGCTGTTTCCTACTAGCTCCGAAGGGCTCACTGGTAGAGGGATTCCTAATAGCATTTCCATTTGAAATGGAAGCTTGCTTTGATTTCAGCTCATGGAATGACTTGTAAGCAATGCAACCAATTCCATATATGCATGTTTTAATGGGGTTTGTGTGTGTGTGTGTGTGTTTGTGTATTTGTATTGATGAACTTTGTGGAAGGATCGATGATTTTAAATAAAGAATGGTTTGAGATTTGAAGGTCTAACTTTGGGATGTTGAAATGTGCTTGTATTGGCGAGTTAGTTTGCAGATTTTGTGAATAATGGTCTTGTTTCCTGCAAGATCCCACTTCAATTTCGAGGAACGAGTGTCGTCAGGGAAGACGCTAGGCCTCGAAAGGGGTCGATTGTGAGATCCCACATCGATTGGAGAGAGGAACAAATGCCCGCGAGGACGCTAACCCCCAAGGGGGTGAATTGTGAGATCCCATCCTAGTTGGAGAGAAAAACACAACATTTCTTGTAAGGGAGTGTAAACCTTTCTCTAATAAACACGTTTTAAAACCGTGAGACTACGTTGATACGTTACAAGCCAAAATAGACAATATAATAGCCTCCAACTCCATTTAACTAATGAGAAGAAATCTATCCACCTGTACCTGTTTAGGTCCGTTTAAACAAGATTTCCTACCTTATTTGGGGCCGTCCTCAAAGTTCCATACTTCCAATTGAATTGACATCTCTAAGAATATATAGACTAAGCAATTAAGGACTAATGCTCATGGTTAGGCAGTGGATCAATGATTAAAAACGAATCCATAAATAAACCACAAAGATGAACGTTCATAACCTTTCTAATCCACAAACATAAAAGTTAATTACAAAGAAAATTATTTCTTGATTTCTTCACTGTCTGCAAAATAGCCAAAGTGGCATTCGAAAGAAAAGGAAATCAGACCTGCTTGATCAACATTCAGAACTCGCACTCAAACAGACCGCCTACATCCGTTCATCAAGCGATCACGTTTAGTCAGAATTTGCTATGGAACACCAAAAAAAAGACGGGAAAATTTATACCATTTTCATGATCATGGTCAACAACAAACTCAAGCATCATGCTGCTGTCTTCAATTCTGGAGAATAAATTTGCTATGGAACACCAAAAAAGGTAGAAAAAATTATACCAATTTCATGATCATGTTCATGTTCATCAATGAACTCAAGCATCATGCTGCTGTCTTCAATTCTGGAGAAATGTCAGTAGTGGCATAAACAGGATGAAGAACGTGTCCTTCCTTTGGTATAATATGCACCCATTTACGTCCGCTCAGCTTGTGCTTTTCGAACTTCACACAGCCTTCTTTCAAAGCAAACAGAGTATGATCCTTCCCTATTCCAACATAATCTCCAGGATGAAAACGAGTGCCCCGTTGACGAACAATAATGTTACCAGGAATAACTCTCTGTATCCAATCCACAAGGATTAACTCTCCATGACAATGTTCATAACAAATAATTTCAAATTCAATCAAATTTCTTTACACCAAGTTTCAATCCACTCACCTCACCACCAAATTTCTTCACCCCAAGATTCTTAGGTTTCGAGTCTCGTCCATTTTTAGTCGATCCAGCGGTTTTCTTTGTAGCCCAACGTCTGAATAATAAGCTTAATCCACCCGCAGATCCATCTGAATCTCAATTGCACAAACATTTTAATCATCATATATACCGACGGAGTAACATTTCAAGCAGAACTTGATCTAGATGAACAATCCTTACCACTAAAACTGCTATATACAGGAACATTGGTAACCAGATCCTTGACATTCAGTCGCTTGCAAAAGGTAGTCGCAATATTGAGCATGATTGAGAAACGATCGGAGAGTGACGGATGGCGACGGCGATGATCGGAACGGAGACGGAGAAGAGAAGGAGATCGAACAATGGTGGGGCAGCTGTTGAAGGAAAAATTTTAGGGTTCGGATTTTCTTTTCGTTTTAAATTGGGCTGATGGGCCTTTTATTAAAATTTATTTTTGGTTCTAATGGGCTCTTGGGCTTTTTTCTTCCAAAATTATCTTGTCTGATGGGCTTTTTACGCTTAGCCCATTATTAAATAAAATTTTTGAAAAAAGCTAAATTATAAAAAAAAATACATTTGACCATTGGACAGATGGAAACACCATCGAGATATTGAGGGTATATAAGTAATTATTCTAAATGTTTTGTTCTTAGGATTAGAAGAAAGTTTTACATGTTGGTAACATCCTAAGCTCACCACTAGCAAATAATGCAGATATTGTTCTTTTTGGATTTTTTCTTTAGGCTTCTTCTCAAAGTTTTAAAACACATCTACTATGGAGACAGTCTAACTCTACTTAGACTAGTGCCTCACACCGTCAGATGATTGGCTCCGATACCATTTATAACAGTTCAAACCCACTGGTAGCAGATATTATTTGCTTTGGCCCATTACGTATCGCTCACAATTTTAAAATGCATATGTTAGAGAAAGGTTTTCACACTAGTTCCTCTCTCTCTAACTGATATAGGAACTTACCTGTAGCCTTAAATTTATCCTAACCTATTAACTTTGAATGTTATATAATTTCTTAGTCAAAAATATATCTCTTAGCCACCTAGCTAGTATATATGTGTGAGTTATGTGGCTTGTTATGATAATATGCTCAAAGCTAGAGAATAAACTCGGGTTTATCTTATGTTCTAACGGTTTCATAATTAATTTTACTTCATTTGTTTTAGTCCCTCAACTTTCGATATTTCTTGAACTTTAAAAATTCTAATTTTATTTTTAAAAGTCCTTAAATTTTTATTCTTAAAGTCAATCGGTTAACAGTCGACCACTCTATCACTGAGCTACTGAGAAACAACGGTAAATTAGGTTTCAAAAAATTCAATTCCCGTTCTCAACCCATGTCCAATATGAGCTCAAGATTTCCTTCTTAACTCTCGAAACTTCTTCGTAGTGGCTTCATTCCATACCTCATTTCATTATCATTCTCAACTAGTTTTGAGATGAATAACTCATGTATCTAATATGATATTAGAGCTCATGAAGCCCAAATGTGTATTCCGTGAAAAAAAATATATATGTACTCAAGAATGATAAACCAAAAAAAACTTGCACATTGGAAAGATGAAGAGACTCATGGGTTATTCCACTCGAACCAAATATCATATTCACCTCATATTAGTTTGTGAGATCACCATTGATTGTAGTGGAGAACGAAACATTCTTTATAAGGTTCTAAAAACCTCTCCTCTAGAAATGCATTTTAAAAACTGTGAAGTTGATGATGATACTTAACGGGCCAAAATGTACAATATCTGCTAGTGGAGGGTTTGCACTGTTACAGATGGGAATCAGAGCCAGAGCCAGACATGAAAAGGTGTGCCAACAAGAATGTTAGGCCCCAAAGGTGGTGAATTGTGAGATCTCACATCGGTTGAAGAGGGGAATAAAATATTTCTTATAAGAATGTGGAAACTTTTCCCTAACAAACGAGTTTTAAAAACCGTGAAACTGACGGCGATATGTAACGAGCCAAAATAAATAGTATCCACTAATAGTGGGCTTAAACTATTACATAGTCACGGTTAAAGAATGCCTAAAAAATATTCATGATTTGGATATCTTAATGTAAATTCTAGAACATCTATAACATGATTTGGAATCACATTTGCTATCATATTCATATGCATCTAATTCAACAGCCTATCATATCAATTACAACATTGATATGTCCAAAACATGACCCAAGTTCAACCTTCTGGATTGTGATATATTCTCTCCAAGTAATGAAATATACAGAATTTGATCAAAAGCAAGGCAAAAAATGTGTATGAATCTAAAAGCTTGCATTGAAATCATAATCAAATAGATAAAATATTGATGAAAAATAAAATCCTAGCCCTTCATGTTCTATCCCTTTCTAATATTAACCTCACATGATTGCATGTGGGACACCCAAATACCCACTTTTCAGAGACTCACATGATAAATGATGTAATAAATTTCAATCAAAATAATAATAATAATAATCAAACCCAATAGAGAATGAAGAGAAGAGAATAGAACAGAACAGAGAGATGCGTTTTGAGTTTTAACGGTAAAATCACCACACACCATGTGATCATTGCTTTGACCCATCAACTACTTTTCTTTGACCATTCAATCAAAGTCTAGTTAATGTCTCTCCTAATCCTCATATTCTTCAAACCTACTCAATCCATGGATTGAGATCACGATACGACAGTTATTATTAATGATCACGATACGACGGTTATTATTAATGATCACTCAACCTATCATCAATGATCACAAAATGACGGCCTCATAACAGTTAATTTGGATTTCATAATGTAAACTATTGATTATAAATTTAACCTATCAAGATCATAATATGACGACCTCATAATAATCATGATCACGATATGATAGGCTCATAATAATCACTCAACCTATCATCAATGATGATATGACGGGCTCATAATAAGCACTCAGTCTATCATCAATTATCACGATATGACGGCCTCATAGTAATCGGTCAAAATTTCATAAAGTGAACTAATTATTATAAATTTGAAGTATTTCAAAGAGCATTCAACGATAAAACATTAACAACATCGTGTCCAACTCACCAAATAATTTCTCAACCAAAACTCTATCTAACACCACTCAAGGATAAAACGTTAACAACAATGTGTCCGACTCACCAAATAATTTCTCAATCAAACCCTAAATGACAACACTCAATGATAAAACGTCAACAACAATGTGTCCGACTCACCAAATAATTTCTCAACCAAAACTCTATCTAACAGCACTCAACGATACAACGTTAACAACCATGTGTCGGACTAACCAAATAATTTCTCAACCAAAACTCTATCTAACTACACTCAACGATAAAACGCTAACAGCAACGTATCCGACCCATCAAATAATATCTCAGCCAAAACCCTGGTTATCTAAATTTCTTTAAAAATGGAGTTTCTTATAGAATTCCTTGCCATTTTTGGGATGTTTGGACTTCACAGTGAAGTTCAAGTACAATGAAAGGCACAACCATTAGAGAAGCTAAAAAGAAAGAACTTTGTTGGATGAATAGGAGGGGAAATGGTGCAAGTAACAAAAGGACAGAGGGAAAGAAAAGGTTGAGTTATAGATCCCTTCTCTTCTAATAAGAACAAAAATGGGCAAATAATTGCATGTTTCCCCCTTCTGAGTGAAAAAAGTGGCAAATTAAAGCCCTTATTCTGCAGATACCAACAATTTAAAAGGGGGAAAAAAAAAAGAATTTTGGAACAAAGCATTTGATCTATTTGTAGAATTTGAGGTGGGACTATGAGACACATACCTTCCACGTCATAAACAGCTAGCAAGCTGTCTCCTTTCCATTATTTCCTTCCACTTCCCCAGATTGAATGGATGCCTCTGTTTGTCTCTCTCTCTAACACATAGAAAAGAGAAGATCATATATATATACATATACATATAATAGAGCAGCAGCCACAGCAGCAGCATTCAGCACAGTACACAAAGAAGTGAGTCCAATGCAAAGAAAACGATAGATCTTCACAGTGGAAAAGGCTTGAAATCACTAAATTTTACAGAGAGATGGAAAGAGCATCGTTTTGCCCATGTCTGTAATATCAAATATATTATTCCCTAAATGGGCACAAACTCCACCACCCATCTTAATTTTTTTCGATTAGACCGTCTATTTCAATGTTAACTCAAGCATTTGATTGTTTAAGCCCACTGTTAGCAAATATTGTCTGTTTTAGTTCGTTACGTATCGTCATCAACCTCACGGTTTTTAAAACGTGTCTATTAGGGAGAAGTTTTCACACTTTTATAACGAATGGTTTGTTCCTCTCTCCAACCAAGGTGGGATCTCACAATTCACTCCATTGGGGGCCAGCGTCATCGCACACACCGCCCGGCGTCTGGCTTTGATACCATTTGTAACAGCTCAAGTCCACTATTAGTTGATACTGTCTGCTTTGGATTTTCCCTTCCATCCTCAAGGTTTTAAAAGCTAGAGAAAAGTTTCTACACCCTTACAAGTAATGTTTCGCTTCTCTTTTCAACCAATATGGAATCTCACATTAGTAGTTATCTAAACATCCTTTCTTTCTCATATATCAAAATCAAGGGTGAAAACCTATCAGCCCCATCATAATGGCCTCACTTGATAACTTCTCGCCTACAAAACTGACTAATAAAAAGGCCCCAATGTCTTAATTGGGAGTAGAAGATGATCATTGAACAGTCTCTACCACCCACAAGCATCATGAAACCTCAATCATATGTTATTTAATTATACCGTATAATGCCCCGCTAGAATCCCACTCTTCTGCATCTCTTTCTCGCAATTCAACTCAACTATCACTCTCACAGGCATTTTCACAAACACCTTGCCCGCAGCCCCATCTGACCTCACATTAAATGGACGAGAAATGGAATCCACCAAAGAAGGAAGGTTCAGGAAGTAGTTACCACCATTCTTCATCGTTCATGAGGAGTGGCTCGACCTCCAAATCGCCATTGTTGCGATGTTCTTCACAGAAAAGCTTCCCAGCTTCCAATTCCAAGAGCCCCCACGATCTCCCTCGAAGTTACTCGCAGAAGAGCTCTTCTTCCATAGGAAGAAAGTACAGCAGCTTAGCCAAGGAACAGAAGGCCCGATTCTACATCATGAGACGCTGCGTTGCAATGCTCGTCTGTTGGCACAAACATGGCGATTCGTAAGCAAAACAAAAACAAAAAAGATTTTCCGCCGCTTCAGAGATTTGATTTCTTCCCCTCCTACACCCGATTCAGATCTTGAGATCCTTTGAGAAATTGATGTAAAATTTTCCGCAAACCCCATCGAGAAGAAGGTATGAACTCTGTTCTCATCGATTAAATTAGATTCAAATTGTAATTACATTAATGAGTTGATGAACAAAATGCAATCCGCTTGGATAACATCAATCGATCCCCTCCTGAATATCTTACGAGATTTCCTTTAGTGTTCTAAATCCTTTTTCAATTAGAAGAATTAGATTGATTGGAACTTTCCACTAAGGATTCATACATGTATTTGAATTTATGCTTAAAATATATTTTGTTGTTTTTAATTTGGTATTTAAATTCTTTGTTTCAAGAAATAATATTTTAGTTTTCAGTTTTAATAATAATTTAAATTATTTCTACTATTATAAAAATTTTAATTTATTAATTTTAATTTTTTATAAATATTTATTGACATCAACATATCAATATTTTCATTGACATCTTTACAAAATTGATACCAAATATGACCAAATATTTGAAATTGGAATTTTATTTTTCGTTAATTTTCAAAAGTATGAATTATATATCAAATTAAATATATTAGGTATGAAGTACGTATATTAGATATATCTAAGTAAACCAATATTCATATTCGGTATAGCATTGGTATATCAACGCCATAAACAAGTATATCGATGTTATTAATTCCTTCAATAATATAACAAACCAAGTATATTAATTGCGACACCCGAGTCAAAAAGTGGTATATGAATAAATCGAGACCATATCTGAGAGCGATCATGAGTATAAGATGACTAAGAAAGGCTTAAAACGTAAATGAAAATTACTACCTATGCCAATAAGGTGCATGTCTTTCTTGGTGGCTCAATAATAGATACTTCATGGCTAATCGTGCTTTGCTCGAAGCAATTGTATGTCGAGCAACCTCCTGGAAAGACGCACGTAAGTGAGAATAGTCTTCACTCTTAGAAGCGAGGAGCGAGTAAGTAACATGATCGTTCTTCAGGAAATGCAAGAGAATGTTGAAGACATCGGGTGTCGAATATGAATTTCAAATACTAGGTCATGGATCGTTTATCAACATTTCACATTTAAAAACTATAACTTTATTAGAAATGGATGAATATAAGATCCAAATTTGATAATTAGGGTAATGAAACACATATTAAGTTAGTAATTAAGCCATAACAATTGATGTCTCCAAAGCAATCTTTCCAGAAAGCCTTCTGTTCTTCATCTTCTCATCCACTTCCCACAGCTCTGGCAATGCTTCTCTTATATTATGAATGCTTTCAAGTGCATAATCCACTCCATTTCCTCTGTTTGATGATCCAACCTGCAAAACCCATTTCTTTGATTCTTAAATTTCTGTTTGGATTCCGAGAAAATTCTCCAATTTTCTCACTTTCCATGATTCTGCTCGAGAAAATGAGTATGAACTCACCAGCACTGTGTGGAGGCCAATGGATTTCCCTGTCTTTATGTTGCGGATGCTATCATCAAAGAAGAGCTGCAAAACCCACCATTTAAATCTCTGGTTTTACATTCAGAAAATGGGGTGAAAGGGGAGTTTCTTACTGTTCTTTTGGGGTCAATGTTGGCTATTTTGAGTGCTGATTCAAATGCATTTGGGGACGGTTTGCAGAGAATCGGTGTGGCGGGGAGCGGAGGAGGAGTGTCGTTGTCGACGTCGACGTCCCCGGTTGAGCTTTTCGAGTCGGATTCAGAGTCGTCATCAGAGGAGTTGAGAGTCTCAAAGCATATGATTCTATCAAAACAACCCTCCAACCCAAGCCTATTTAGAACTTTAGCAACATGAACATCGTCCGCGTTCGAGAAGATCTGTTACATAGCCAAAAACAACTTGTTAGGAATTACAGATCTCCACGATAGTATGATATTGTCCACTTTGAGCATAAACTCCAGTGACTTGTTTTGAGCTCCCCCATAATCATTCCCTAAATTAGCTAATGTGGAACTCCCTCCTAACAATCCTCTCATCGAACAAAGTACACAATAAAACCTTTCCTAAGGTTTATGTAGCCCTCGACTCCTTTACTAGAGCCCCTGAACAAAGTACACCCTTTGTTCGACATATGAGTCACTTTTGACTACACCTTCGAGCTTCACAACTTCTTTATTCCACATTTGAGGATTCTATTGACATGGCTAAATTAAGGGTATGACTTTGATACCATTTTAGGAATCATTAGATCTCCACAATTATATGATATTGTCCACTTTGAGCATAAGCTCTCGTAGCTTTACTTTGGATTTTTCCAAAAGGCCTAATAACAGGTTAAACTCGCTCGCTACGTATATAAATCTGAAATTCGATTACTCGGAAGGAAAGTTCTTACAACTTTGCGAATCGGCAAACTAAGCAAGAGAGTTCTAAGAACAGGATCGCGCTTGAGGTTATGATATGGTAATCTTCCATGAACAAAGCTGCAAAAGAAGAATCAAAGAATCAATAACAACAGTTTGATCCAAAAGGAGAAGAAAAAGAGAGACACAAAGAGGATATGAGTACCTGTGATAGTGATCATTGTCAAACTCATAGCCAATAGCCTAAAAAACAACACAAAAAGTTTGAAACTTTCAAACAAATTTCAACTGGGTTTGTGTAAATATGCAAAAATTCATTCAAAGTTCAAAGATTGAACCTTAAGGCCAGCCATGGATGTCCCATAATTCCTGTACAGAAACTGGTTCATCTCAGCAACTCCATCTTTCTCTATCCCAAGCTGCTGAACCATGTACTCTGTCAAAAACAACGAACAACATGAGAAGGTTGAGGATTGTTGGAAGGGAGTTCGATTGATCATGGGTTTATAAGTAAAGAATACATCTCCAATGGCATGAGCCCTTTTGAAGAAATCAAAGGCAAAGCCACGAGAACTTATGCTCAATCCTCAAAACGTCGAACAAATGATGTACTTTGTTCAAAGGCTCTTGAGAAGGAGTTGAGTCTCGATTAAGGGGAGGCTATTCGAGGGCTCCATAGGTCTTGAGGGAGGCTCTATAGTGTACTTTGTTCGAGAGAAGAAGAGACTTGATAATACGTACCTTCAATGTTTTTGGTGCATTGTTTTGACAAACCAGATGTAAGAGGGTAAAGGGTATCATCAACATCTGCCAAATTAGAACATAAACATGTTTAAGCTGAAATCTAAGCTTTTAGTGTCGTAATTATAGGTTTTTTTGAAGCTATGGGGCTTACCAAAAAGAAGACACTCATATTTTTGGGGTCGAGATTGAGGAGATTGCTGGTTTTTGCATTCCATTTTGAGCCTTAAAAAGGGTTCAAAACCACCAAAGAAACAGAGATAGTGACCAAAAATGGGCTTAAAAAGGGTTGAAAACCACCAAAAATGGGTGCAAAATGGATAGATGAATGAAAGAAGAGAGGAAATGGGTGAGTATAAATAAGGGAATTTGGTAGCAGAAATTGAGAGGAAAAGTCATTGGAAGACAATTCCATTGCTTAGAATGATACAAATTCTAGAAAATGGGGCCCAATTCCCACCCACCCTTTGATTGTATATAACCAAATAAACATCACCATCTTCCTTTTTGACTCAGCAAATCAACATCGCCCGTCTTTTTCAATAAAATAATTTAATTCATTTCGGTCTCTGAACTCTTAAAATAGTTCTTGAAAATGTATCGCTATGGGAGATCCCAACGAGGAAGCTGGGTCCCGAAGGAGTGGATTGTAAGGGTTTGTTTTCAATAAAAATCTTGAGGGGAAGTCTAAAAAAGACAATATCCGCTAGCAGTGGTTTGGGTTGTTACACGCTCTGTACCACTTGGAACACTCTATACCCATAATTCAGATCGAAATTTAGAATCTTGATTCAGTACCTGATGGTCCCAGTATTCACATATATCTCGAGTAACATAATCATGGATCCTTTTAGCATGTTTTGTCTTCAGTCATATATTTTTTTTTAAAAGTTCATCCAAGTTTGCTTCAAGCAAAACACGCTTAATTTTGGAGTTTCTATGATTGTGCCATCGAAAAACAAGGTACACCTTCAATATGCTTAGCTTGGAGCAATTTTACCTTGGTTATCCCTAAAAAAGACAAAATATGCTAAAAGAACTCGTGTTAGTTTGTGGGGATAGTCTTCGATCTTAGAAGCATTTAAAGACAAATAGGTAATTCTTAGGATCATCAAGTACCGAATTCAAATTCTAAATTCTGGGTATGAAACGTTACATTATAAAAGAACGATTTTCAAGTCATACGAGATTAGAGACCAAAATACAAACATTTTAAGGCTTTGGATGCCCTTTCACCATCGATCAATAAATACAAAATATTATATCATAGGAAAGATCATATCATATTATCTTTATCATGAAAGTGAAATATGGGAATTTTTTAATACCCGAAACCTAACTTACAATAGACAAACATCCTTCAAGACAAAAAGATTGATCCAAGTGTTCGAGTTTAGTAGTTAAAATATATAATTATTTTGTTAAAAGAATATCCTTCTTACACTTGTCATTATATGGGAGTTTTGTTTTTTCGAAAAATATATAATAAATTTTTTTAGTTCCTCTACTTCAACCACTATTTCGAGCGATATTTTGAATGCACGAGATGCTGTAGAAGAAAATGCATCGTGTTGAGACTGAACAAATACAGTAAGTGAACTTACGATTGGAACGCCTACAGACTAGATTAGATGAAATTGTTTGATACTTGAACAACACGTTCTCTGTGATCCCATTTGGTTTAGTATCCCTTAGGTTAGATCAAAGCATCGTTTTAAATTTACGTTATATATTTTTCTACTATGTTGATGTTAAAATGAATTTATTATGAACAGTGACGTTTCTATTACATTAAGAAAAATAAAGTTACAGTGGATAATTCTATATATTTATATAATATTAATGAAATAAAATAATTTTAATTGGGTCCATTAATTAAAATAATAGAGGGGCTAGTACAATTAAAATTACATGACGGGGCAAAATGTTATTGGATGTTAACTTCCTTAATTTTCATATTATTTTTCTTTTTTATAAATATAAATAAAAAATGTTTTATTGAAATAATTGAGATTTTTTTTATAAAGATTTTATATTTTTACGTTTGAACTTTAATAATTACTGTTTAGTGTCGGGCTCTGATACTATTTGTAAAAGTCAACTACTAACCGATA